AACCAGGACCGGTGGGCCGGGCCAGGACCGGGGCCCGGCATCTGATCACGTCTAGCGCTTCCTTTTGAAATCCCTATCCCTATTGGAGGTGTTGAAATTCTTCCAATTCCCAATAGCCACGTCATCATCATCATCATCATCGCAATTGAAATTCCCCAATTTCTCACCTGTACCGGCATTAATAGGGCCATCATTCTTCTTGGTCTTCGCGAGCGGGGTCCTCAAACTTCTGGGTTTCTTGATAGGGTTCAGTTGACGATGCAGATTGCTTTCGCCGGGGAGGTTCTCTTCGTAATATGGCTCGTTCAGTGCCGACGCGCCCGTTGGCCGGGAAGGTTCTCGTAATATGGCTGGCTCATGCAGTCTATCCGTGAAAACAGTTGGTTCAAATCAGACTGAATTTAATTTATACCTAATTGCCAGGTCAAAAATTGTTAGATTAAGAAAAAAAGACTTGGTTCAAACACACACACACACACACACACACCTGCGTTTGTTCTTCTCTTCTCACACAAGAAAGACTTGGTCCAAACACATCGATAGAAGAACGTATAAAAATGGGAGAGACAAAGCGTGTGAGTCAATGCAAGTGACGTTCCCTCCAATCCATTGACGACCAATATTTTTCCGCTCTATATAATTATAATGGCTTTGGCTATACTCTGCTTCTCCCCCGCCATCTCAGATACAAATGGCCGCCACCACCATTCATTTTGGAATCACCACAGCCTTCACCACTTACTTCAGCTATTTTCTCCTCTTCTCCTTTGGCCAGATTCGCGATCTTTCCCGCAACATTTTTCAAATTTGGTGCTGCGACACTCTTCAGGTAAGTGTGTATTAATCCTACTTGATTATGGTTTACTTACTGGTGTTTTGAATTTTTGAAATGTTTGTTCCATTCTCAAGGGTTATGCGCCAATCTGCTCGGGGCCTGAAGACTTCTACATCCGTCGATTGTACACCAGAATTCAGGTAGATGGTGTGTGTGTGTGTGTGTGTGTGTGTTTTTTATAAATGATATACGATTCTCTTCGGGACATTTTTCTGCTGGTTCACTGAAAATAATCACGGCTGTTGGAGTTGTTAACATTCGTTAACTGAAATCATTTGCAGGACTGCTTTAACAGGCCCATATCGAGTGCTGCCGATGCTTGGGTCGACGTGGTGGAGCGAATTTCCAACGACAATAACAAAACATTGATGTAAGTAAATACATTTCTCTACAAATTATTAAAACAAGTATTTAAAAAGATCAAATCAGTTTGATTAATGGTGTTTTGTGCAGGCGGACGAATAGAGTAACTAAATGCCTCAATTTGGGGTCATTTAATTATTTAGGATTTGCTGCAAAGGATGAATACTGCACACCCCGGGTTGCTGAGGCCCTCGGAAAATTTTCTCCGAGCACGTGTAGCACTCGGGTTGATGGAGGTAATCTTTTGTTCTTTGTTATAGTGATTAAATTAGTAAAAAGGGATGCATAGAGTTGCATATTGTTGAAATGTGACACTGTTCACAGGCACGACAACATTGCACGCTGAGGTGGAGGAGTGTGTGGCCAATTTTACCAGAAAACCGGCAGCCATAGTATTTGGGATGGGCTACGCAACAAATTCCGCCATTATTCCAGTATTGGTTGGCAAAGTGCGTATTTTGGAGTTTCATATACAGTTGGAGGACCATTAGTATTGGCTCCAATAATGTTGGATTTTACATTTTTTTTTTTAATTGTATTTGGTGATATTTGAATAGGGGGGCTTGGTTATCAGTGATTCTTTGAACCACCGGTCTATAGTTAATGGGGCCAGAGGTTCAGGGGCCGTCGTCCGAGTTTTTCAGCATAATAGTAAGTTCGATTTTTTTTTTATCTTGATTACACTAGGTTTAAACATTGGTAATATGTATGATCATCCTTTATGCAGCACCATCTGATTTAGAAAAAGTTCTGAGGGAGCAAATTTCGGAGGGACAACCAAATACACATGGCAAGCCTTGGAGAAAGATAATCGTTATCGTGGAAGGACTGTACAGCATGGAAGGGGAACTATGCAAACTCCCTGAAATCATCTCCATATGCAAGAGATACAAAGTTGGTGCACGATAGATTAAAACGTCTTTGTAAATAGTTTGAAAAACGAATACTCTAACTTGGAATTGTATATATCTTTCTACTTTGTAACATTTGTTCTGTCATGTTTTTCCCTTTTTCTTATTTGTTTTACGTTTTTTGTACACACAGGCATACGTGTATGTAGATGAGGCTCACAGCATGGGAGCTATTGGGAAAACCGGAAGAGGTGTGTGTGAGCTTCTAGGAATCGACACGTCTGATGTAGATGTGATGATGGGAACTTTCAGTAAATCATTTGGGCCTTGTGGTGGTTATATTGCAGGATCTAAAGTACGTAATCACCTTAAGCTTCTAACTATAACAAGGACAATAGTAATCGACTTGATTTTTTTTTTTTTTTTCTTTCTCAGGAACTTATCCAATATTTGAAGTACACTTGCCCGGCTTATCTTTATGCGACGTCAATGCCCCCACCAGCCGCGCAACAGATTATTTCTTGTATGAAGGTTATTCTCGGTGAAGATGGCTCTAGCAGAGGTCCCAATTTCTACGACTTTTTTGCTTTTAAGCTTCAAATATATATATATAGCATTTCCAACATTATTTTAGTTCCTCATGCATGGAAATTTCCTTTTTTTTT